TTTTTAATATCGGTGGCCTCCCAATTAAAAAGCAATTAGTAACATTTTTGTAATTTTTTTTTGTAAAATACATGTATAGACTATCATTATATCAAAACATTTTGTGCAATTTGTACGCCGTTATATTATATAACTATAATATTTTATCACATGCCGGAGAATTAAAAATTAAAAACATTTTTTGCACACTAAACTCAATAATAAAGCTGCAATTACTATATATAATATTTTTTTAAATTAATGTAACGCGTTTTTTGTGTACAGTTGTAAAAAAAAAATATTCATAATCATATTAGTATACCGTGTCTTTAGTATGCATTTGACGTTTGCTCATAGATACGAATCCATGTTGGAAGGGTGGTACACTCGAAAAGAGAATACTATACATCACTCGGCCCACCCGTTCTGGCAAATTTAACAGTGTCTGTCCCATTAATTATAATATTATTATGTTCAAGCGGTGCAATGTCGAGTCAATTTCCAAAGCTAATAACGCCGATTCGGTCATAAAGCACTTTTGGATTATTTTCTTTGTTCGCTCACCGGTAACACTACATCTCTTCATATATCCCAACGATTAGGCTGATCGCCGACCTAACCAAACTTGTGGTTCATCCAACGCAACGGTCAAAACACTTTTAACAACAGAGTATAGTAAAACGCCGTTAGCTCGAGCAAAGTGTATTTGAGCGAAGGCCATAAGTCACATACATCGTCCACTTAACAATTATTATGTTATGTTATACACTGGGTGCCTGAAATTGTTTTGGCAACAGATTTTAAATAAGATTTCTATGTAAAAATATTGTCATCGATGCGTGCGACGCTCTGAATATACCGCAGTAATCGAAAAAGCTTACAACAATGTTGCGCTACCATAACGTTCCGCGAATTAACTTGTGGGCGAGGTGAAGTTTTTGAACTTATATATATATACTTATTTACTATAGCTTTATGTGGTTTGTCGGCGGTTTACGTTGCAGACTTTCCACGATTTTGACACGCTCGGTTTGCTGAACCATTTGGCACTTACACCGGTTATACTATGCAACAAATTTTCCTAGAAACTTTTTGGTAAAATTACCGCACCACCCCGCATGACCCTTGGTGAAGGGTTTGTTCTAGGTAGTATACTTTTACATTTTCTTATAATAACATAAAACTATTTTAAAAAGTAAAAAAAACCGCATAGTGAATGAAATCGAAAAATCTTCTGTCCGGATGTTCAATGGAGTCTTAATTACATAATGAAATATAATATTATGTATAACATTTTTTTTTTTTTTAGAAAAAATGATACATAAATAGACTTAATGAAAGTTGGTTAAGTATAAAAAAAGAATAATAATTTAAATATGCACAGTATACGCGTGATTTATTGAAATATTTGTATCAATATTTGGTTTCATGCCCATGCATGATTTTTAAATATTTTTACAATATTAAAAGCATTAAAAAAAGTTTTAGCAATTATTACAACTTACTATTATTGCTTCAAATATACTGATTTGTATGGCTTAAGCACAGTAAGAAATTTGCAATGTATAATGTTGTAAGATTTTTGAGTATAACTATATTTTTAATACATGTATACTTATTTACTTTTTTAATATGATCAATATTAAAATATAATTTTTAGTACTTCATTAGTATATTTTTATAATCCATTTAAGAAAAAATAAATTCATAATTGAAAATCCGCTTATAGGTTAAGTTGATCGGTTTACATCTAAAAAAACCTTATGTATTAAAAAAAATGTTAACTCGAATATGTTTTAACGAGCATGTAACGTATATGAGCTCTCATTATGTTTCAATTTTACATTGTATTCGATATTTTTTTCTTTTTGCATTGTTCGAAAGTCAAACATGATGACGACGTTAATTAAGTGCAAGTATAGAATTAACTTTGTAATTTTGACGGAGCGGTATCAGAACAGTGTTATGAAACATTTTCTTTACTCCTCATCTCACTCTTTATTTTTATATGACTTTTTATTTTTTTATTATGTTATATGACTCAATTAACGATGTACGAGTACTTGGATTGGAGATTAAAAATTAGAATATAGTAATAAAACTATATTCAAAGATAAACTTTTTACTTTTCCAGATTCCTACGCTTACCTGAAATTCACATCAAAGTGTTTGACAATAATTCAATCACTTTGATATCTAATATTTGTTTTGGCCTACTTTGGAAACTTCTTGCTGTTCCCGAGTTGTTCAGCGATACATTTCAAAACCTATCTATACCTCTTATACTTTAATAGCGACTATTTGTAGCAATATTTTATTTACTAGTAACATATTAAAGCTTTTTTGGAAAAAAAATGTATGTGGATTATATAATAATGCGGTTTTTATAGGTAGTAAAAAATGATTTATTACATCTCTATTGCGCTAAACAATGTGGTGTTTGCTAAAATAAACGTTTTTTTTTGTTACGTTATTTAAACATTTATTGGATAACACTTTTTCCCCTCTGTGTAATACTTCATTAGTAATGGGTTGCTCTCTATTACTCCCGTAAATATTTAGTATTTTACGACCATAGCACGCTGCTACTCGGTAAAGTACCTAAAAAACAAATATCACAAAGTTGAACGATAAATTTCCAATTATTAAAAAGGATTTAAACACTAAAAAATGTAATTAGACATTATAAGAGAGCAACTTGTGTAGAAGATCGCTCATGTGACTTTACCAATTATTATAAATAGTGTAGTGTGTATAATTAGCGACGTTTTTTTAAGTTAAATAAAATTAATTATTAGTGTACAGTGTACACTGTACATATTATTATGTTTTATAGTTGAACACTTTACAAAAAGCAATAGCTAAAGAGAGTTTTCTTTGTTATTTAATATAATATTAAAGACTTTGTGGCTTCAATGACATTTAAGGGCTTCTTCCTGGATAAAAAACCACCCTTAGTAGTTTCAACAACATCAAATGAAGGTTTTTTAAATTATTTAACATTATAATATGATATTTTATCTTACGCAATTAACGTAGTCACGTTATTTGTATGAAAACGAACAAAAAGTATTGATTTTTTATGTAACAATATTTTTTTATTGGAATGACAGAAAGTGTCGAGTGTGGTAGTAAACTCCACACAAGTATATTGTGCTTACAGAAAGAAATATATAATATTATATATTATATTATCCTTTTTTATTAAAATGGGGTGTACATCATACCACATCAACTTATCGGTTATGAATTTGTAACCTCATAATGTTAACTCAATACTAATAAAATTCTTGTTTTATGTTTATCGCGTGTTTAAGAAAGCAATTTATAGTTTTCGTTTATACAGTTTTTATGTGACTCCCATAAAAACTGGACATAAAATTACTTTGAAGCGAGATAAAATCAATGAATTAAACATGTGCGCTCACTTGTTTATATATGTATACTCTTGAGTACAGAGTTTTTTTTTCGTAATGTAGCCCTTCGTAAGGGGTTCTATACTATTGATACTTCGTCACTTCACACTTGGGATATCAAGCAATAATACTTGATTTTATTTTTTTAGATTTAGAGGTAGGCATTAGTACTTTTTGATACGAATACAGGGTAATCATATACTTACTTACTTTTTAAATTAAGACAAATTTACTGAACATTTTGAATGGTCGATAAACAGTTTTTGATAATTATTCTTAAAGTCGTTTAAGTTTAATGTTTAGGATGGGAGAAAGGATGGTGAGTAGTACTATTTTTATCTTCACGCATTACCCAACCGCACTTCCCCTCCCGCATTAAACTTAAATAACTTAAAGGATTTATTTTATATTACTTAGAACTATTATTGTTTTGTTTTATATAGTATTTGAAGACAATAAAAGCGTGTACACAGGTACTCACTGAAGTGTAAACTTTAGGGTCGACCGAGCGCGATGCGCAGACTTTATAGAACAATCACGGTACAATATGATTTACTATGATCATTATCATTATCTGTATAGTAAAATAATCACGTTGTGCCGTTTTAATTTTAGTATGTTTCGCTGGAGTTATTCAAAGGAAAATCATATATATTATATTATTATGATAATCTAATTAACGACCGTATGCATTTATATGTAAATCGGGGAGACTGTTAACACACATGTAAGTCTTTTATATAAAGCATCGTACGGTTTTCGAATAGAATAGAAAATAGTATGTGCACACTCATCCCTTTGAATTTATAGTTGTTATCAAAAGCTAATTGGTTTTGCAGAAATTATACAAACAGTTTTTAAAAATGTTTTACAGCGTTAGAACTTAAACATTTTTCCGCTTGACAATTATTATGTGATAAAGTTTTTGTCAGTCATTTAACATTTAAACCAATACTTTTTAACTCAATACCTAGTGGACCAAGAAAAATTGAAAATATTGGTTTATTAAATCAAGTTTTTTAATAAGCTTGTTGGTTTAAACGTTCACGTCCCTAACACATATACCTTGTAGTCATCTTATAATAATTATTCTTTTGTAGTTCAGAAAATTCTACATCACTTATTTTATTTGCGTAATGCTTATGTAAAAAAACAATCCTCGCAGAGCTAAAATCGAAAAATTATCAATGTTAAGGTAAAAAAATCTAACAAATACAGAACATATAAAAATGTATAATGGTTATGTTACAAAAAGTGAGATTGTCCCTTTTAGACCAACTATTTGTAATACATATGTAAAAGACTATTGCAGACTATTAGTCGTGAGATATCATAAATGATTACGTCCAAAAGTCAAAATATAATTTTGAATATTAAATGGGATAAAGTGGTCAGAATACATTGTTGTTAAAGTTTGATCATTATATAACTCATTACGTACAATTTCAATTAGACTTTGCTCGTTTTTTTTCTGATTCATAAAATAACAAGTAATAGGCAACATCAATTTAACGTGGCGAGATTAGTTGAGTGCAGAAAGTATAGCAAATAAAATATGTTATGCTTTTAGCAGATTATAATAATTAATAATATCATCAATAGTACCTGACTCGTGAGCTGTCATGGAATGCGGCGGGATTGTCTGGCTCGGTGAATTTCGGCAAGCTGCCCTGGAGCATGTACAACCGAAACGCCAACAGCACCGCCGTCTGCAAAGTTTTCGGTAAGTAGACGTCAAATTATATTCTGCGACATACTTAGGGAAGAGTATAATAATAATAATAATCACGGACGAGCGGGAAAACGGGCTTGGCGGTGGTGAGAAGTCGTTTCGGCTCAACAATACTATACTTGGACGGGCTTGCCCGCAACAGCCACAGTTTGTCTCAGCGCCTTTTCCACTTGGGAAATGTTATTATAGTGTAATACCGACGTGTTATTATTATTATTATTATGGTCATTGTTGTTAATATACAACATATTTTACAGTCGAGTAAACCGCAAGTTTGATAGAAAAATATTTTGTTTTTAAAATTGTATTTATGTTTTTTTTATTCATAATGAAATACAATATATTATCACTCAATGTGTGTATAATGAAAAATAAATTGATGACTCTATTTTTAAAAAATTATGTATTTCGTCTATAAAGACTACTGTATAATATAAAGGGTCTGCCTGTCAAACAATATAATATAGTACAATACAATCTATACAATACTTACAGCAAATACAGTTTGAGCAGCCCTTTTGGTAAATGATCTATATTCTTCTGTGTGTCTGTGTTCCATAAATGATCTAAACACGGAAAAGAATAAATAGCTTAAAAAATGGTTATGAGTGTAAAGAAGGTTTGGAACGGCTATAAAACTGGATATAATTCCATGGTTTTTAAGAGCATGGAAAAAAATGATCATAGTTCTTCTTATACAATTATTTTATAAATGTTTATTGAAGTATAATTTTTTTAGTCAATTCATGTACCGTAATATTTTTAGATACATTTCCAGAGTGAATTCCATTAATTTTTGTAAAACGATATAAATTTAGAATTTTCCTTTCAAAAACAAACATTTAATTAAAATTTGTAAAACTATTTCACCTTAACCTAAGCTAGTTCAAATTTAATTAAAAAAATACTATGTTCAATTTTCAGCAACAATAATTGTTCGCTGTTTGCACTATCATAAACAATACATATGTCATGTACAAAATTATATATATATATATTTATATATGCAAGTGTAATACTCAGAAACCAGAATATTTAATAAAAATCATTGGTTTTGTTTTGTTGATACGACGATTTAATTATGGTTTGAATGGGTTTAATCTCGCTTTTCAGAATCAATACACGTCTCTATATGCATGTATCATATACTATGGGTATAAACGCATTGTTTAAAATAATTAATATATAAGCGTTCGTATTAACAGACTACAATAAACTATCCAAATTAATCTGGTTAATATAAATCTGCAGAGCTAGGTTACCTAAATTTGATATATTTTCTTTTGTTCAAGAACAACCTAACCTAACCTACCAATACGATTCAATAGGGCCCAATCATTTATTTTCACTAGTGTACAAGCATGATAAGTAAATATACATATTTTGTTGCGTTTTCAAAAACATAAGACTATTCTTTCTCCCGTTTAGTTCTGTTTCAAAATTAAAATAATACATAAAATGTATTCTATACAGCTGTATATCAAATTATTATTGTGTCCATACTTTAATATTAATATGTTATACATTAATATTGTATATTATTTTTAGTCTTATACATTTCACTTAACGATAATATAGAGGAGAACAAAGTATAAACTGTCGAAAGAACTACAATATAAATAAACTACCTTCGACACAATAGGGTTATTGATAGGTAAAAAAAAAAAATGTTGCACTTAAATAAAATCAATAACGTTGAGTCGAATGAAAATATTTGCGAAACTACTTCTGTTGGCCGATACAAAAGCCTTTAGGCCTTAACTGAATGAATCAGCAATATTTAATAAACCCAATTTTAGTACATACTTGTGGAGGAAGTAAAAAAAAACACAAAAGGAGAGAAGTTCCGTCTCGAGTGAAGAGAAAATAGTTGACTTATCGGATTTCACAGGGACAGAATATAATAAAACCGTTGTTACTCATTGTGTATACTTACTTTCTGATGTGACTCCACGACGAATAAACGTCATAAGCCAAGTTTACCAAAAGCACCATCAGTCCCGTTTCCTTAGCTAGCATCGATAATGCTGCAAACGTACAGCTGAGCAGCACTTGTTCTTTGCATTTCCACTGTATACTATAATATGATCACAATTATTAAATTCCATGTATGTGGATACTTCTAGAATAGGTACATATGGAAATAATTTTCATTGAGATTATACCATAACTATGAGTTATGTAAATAATAAATATTAGCTAATGTTGAAAGTATAAAACTAAGACCATCTTATATTTTCAGTTTTATCGAATAAGAACAATATGGGAAAAAAGTGTTCGATTACAAAATGTTAACATATTTATACATTTTATCAAATAATTGTTTTGAATTATGCCCACTACAAAAGTCTTAGCACAAAATATATCTTTACTTCATCAAATATGACTTACTTTATGATGAACAGTAAAACAATAAAAGGTATATTAGGACATAATTTATGAGATGTCCAAGCAGTGAATTAAAAAAGTATGTATCTTATCTTGTATTCTATCGATTTTTCAAAATAATTATTTTCTAGGATAATTAATAGATGAGATTTAAATACAATGTCAGTTCAGGGTAGTCGTTTTCTCGTTTTACTCTGTTTTTATTTAGCTATATTGATTATAGTGTGGCTACTGGCTTTGCGTAATACCTTGTCAGTGTCGAAATACTTCGAACCAACGTATTTTGTTAACTAGAATTTGTTGTAAAAAAATACTATACACACTATAACGCGGCTTACCGCGGTGTTACGGGGGCTCTAGGATTTTCTGGAAACCGCTACGACATTTGCATTTTCCCAAATTCGGTTTGTGCTATACGGTTAGGTTAACTCGAGACCCGACGGCAACAGCTGTGTGCCTGCATGTATATCCTTACCATTTGTTATCGCAAATACCTAAGCGGCGTTTGCGGAATACACCGAACACGAGTGAAGAGAGTGAGCCACCATCAATCATCCGTTTTACCCAAAACCGGGTTTATCCGCGGGCGAAATGGGGCAAGGCGACTACGCAGAGGGAACGGACTAAAAAAATATTGTGCAAGAGTGTGCAGATCTTATGTATGCATATAACGAACAAATACTTAGGGCGTCGGGCTTCCGTTGAGAAACGCTATACACATAAATATATACCATGATTATCCGGCGACCCCGGTGGACACACTAATGATACACGGTAAACGCCACCTCCGCCTCCCCTTAAACGGCTCATTCGCTCTCTCCATCCAGTCTAATCTCCGGCGACCACGATGACAAATGATCATCGGCATATATCCACCTGGTGTACGTCTCACGCGGGCTAAGGAGGCGCTCAAAAATGCTGCTCACTACTTGTTTTGGGCGCTTAAAATAAATGCCCGACAATTTACCGGTACTATAATAATATATTATAAGCGGGCCAGCAGCTGCTAATTCCGCATACCGCGACCAGGCTATCATTCATGTATAATCGTACACGGCGGAGGAGAGACAAGCGAAAAAAAATAATGGCCGTCCTCCGTTTAATTATTCAAATAAAAATAAAATGGAAGGTACCTAGCTTGTTTTGTATGTCAGAGAAAAAAATCGACGTCATCGGGATTAGGCTCACGGTCCCGTTATATTATTATACTATAAAATGGCCGACGTGAAATGCATTACAAAACAAAAAAAAAATGAAAAAAAGGCTAGTTATACGAAACGATTTTTTGCTTTGATATACGCGACACATGGGTACGCGCCCACATAAAAAAAAAAAATTACCTAGCGGAGATCTGTAGAAAAATAATAATAAATGTACGAACCCCGGGATTTTATTTATTTTTATTTTTTACTGTTCAAACAAGGTACATATATAATTAATTGGTGACAGCGAGGTGAAAAATGTACCGGCAAAATAGATTTATGTCCCTATAATATTACCACCCAGTATGCGCCAATCATGCGTTACCGGACCCACAAAACGATTGCCAACCGTTTAAGACATCGAAAATTTGCCTGTCTGCTTGTTTACCGATTATAATTAATTTAGAGAATCTGTTTGAAATGCCACGCATCAAAACACCGAAAATTGTATCGGCTAATATATTCGCACACTATTTTCGCAGGGTAAATCATAATAATCCGACAGAAATGCATATAAACTGTATGTAAATCAGTTAGATCATCACAATATACAATGTATATCGTGTCAGTATGTTATTTATTACTTTTTATAGCGCTCTCTATAAAGTTTCTATACTTTACCATTAAAGACTTGAGATATTTTAGGAGTTATTATCCGATCGACTTTGGACTCGATCAGTATAATATGATTAATTATAGACAGTTTTTTTCCGATCGGTTATACAAGGATCCAGTTCTGGGAAATACAATTGATCACAAACAAGGATTCATTATTGTTCGGCAAACCCAACACGGTATTAATTATGTTAATAACAACTTTGGGGTGTAATCAATTGTAATATGAAGGTTCATCCCTTTATTGTCTCACTTATATATGAAACCGTTAAAATATAAAATATTTCGGTTGCTCGAAGAACGTAATTTTTTTTTCAAAGGCAACACTTTGTTAACAAAACGACTGTGTATTTTAATTAAGTAAATGATATCCCTTTGAAGGTCTTTAAAAAATATACAGGTCCTATTAATTTCTTTTAATTACTTTTTTTTAATGAACACTGTCACCCTGAAAAATATGAAAAGTTTAAAAATAGGACTAACAAGGTACAAAAATGATGGTGATATTTTGTAATTTGTTTTTTTATAATTATTTTTACTCTTGAGTGTAAACCTCGTTTATTTCAAAAACGATTTACTGAATCTATATTTAATAATTCTTTGTGATATCAAATTTTTTTTAACGTCTATGGTTAACTTGAATAATTACCGTTCAACCATTTATTACTAATATTTAATATACTAAATTTTCAATTGTGTATGTTATCGTTTGCATGTTTAACATTCTTTTATATATATATTGGAAATATCTAGACATTATTAAAGCTATATTATAACTGAGCCGTTTAGACGAAGAAAAAAATATTCTTACAATAACATCCAAATATTTTTAATTTTTATAATGGATAGCCGAACAAATACATTTCAGTTTTCACCCACAAACAAGTACGAAAATTAAACACTGTGGTTATGAAATCGTGTTGCGATTCTAATTTAAATATTAAAATTATACAGCAATAATAAGGACTAGAGAGGGCAAATATATGGTAGGCCTAGAATGTTTGAACAATTAAGTCTGCTTAATACTCACTCGTGATAGGTTAAAAACGATAGTAAGAAAAATAAACAGGCCAACACGTCAGCTCTTCCGACGATCCCAGTGACCTGAAACAGTTTAAAGTTGCAATTAATATAGAGACATCTAGTTTTGATTATTAGGTAAATATATTTTGTGCATTATAATTGTATAAGGTTCTGTGTTCCCCAGCAGTACCTATATATTTAATTATTACAACTGCCGCGATTAACGTCCACTAAGTTATTTCTGTTGTAAGTGTTTAGGTAATTTTAATTTGACTACATACTAAACAAAATCGGGTCGTTTACAAGTTTTTTGAAGAAGAACTAGCGCTAAAAACTTAAATTGTTATAACATAAGAAGGAAAATGATAAAATACTTTTGTATACTTATATACCGAACTCAATGCATGTAGACTTCACGACTTTTTTGATTATTATGTTGTAGCGGTTAAGCGTTCGAACTCTGCTTAGGAATTTTGACAAACAATTGGTTTTGAAATTTCTCGAATCGATAAAAATAAAATGCCAGTTATAAAATGTAAAAACTTTAATGGACATAATGAAATGCTCGAGTAAATCATTTTAAAGTATATACACTTATAGTTTGTACTTTTAGGCGAGTTGGTTTTATTTCAAGCAGAAAGTTATGAAGAGTAGAACTAATGGTTGCTCGCCGTCGCCGATAAACTTTGAGCACGACGTCGCGTCAATAACTTTCTTCTAAATTTGATTGATGGCCATCGCTTTCCTTGAACGTCTTCTAATCCCATTGTCAAATCGACGGTTGTGTTTTCGTAGGTTTGCCGTTGTTGTGTTCGGCTCGTTTTTGGCACATATACACACGGATTAAATTCGATGGCCCACGGCCGCGTTAATGTGATTAAACCGTACCGTCGTCCCCTTTCTTATTTCAATCCGCGTCTTTGGGTTTGAGGTTTTCGCGGGCGGCGCGCTCAAGGGAAATCACCGAACGATTCATTGTTAACTTACAAAAGCCGATGAAAATAGAAGAAGACAAGGGGAAAAAACTCATTTTGGAGTGTGTGTTCCGGCGGAGGGGAAACCATGTATGGCGGGGGCAAAGGGACGTACAATTAAAACGATAAACGCCACTGGGGTACCCCACGCTATTCCGTGTCAATACCAAAGGTGGTGGCGGTACTGCTGCTGCCGAAATTATCTTTGCCGTCTCTGTGTGTCTTTACTACTGCAGCAGTTGTTCGTGCTACCGTAGCTTCGAGACAATGGCCGTTGACAATGACGACAACAACTTTTAATTAAACCCACCTCCGGTATATCTACATGCCAACGGTTGACCGGGGGCGAATGTGTATATATTTATTTATATATAACATACGAGCACGTGTAACGATGGATCTTAAGTGCGCGAGTGAGTATAGAAAGCATTTATGTGGGTATCGGATATAATAGACCGTTGTGCCGTTAAGGGGTTGTTTTTAGTAACAAAAAATATACATACGTATAACAGAACAACGTTTTTCAAATGGTCTTAAACATATTATTTCAGCCTATTTTCTCGAACCCTTATCGTCATTGAATTTACAATTTTTACATTAATTAATAATTATAATAGACAATAGTATCATTTGTTTCAATTTCTATAACAATGCAACTTAATTTGTAAAAAAATATAGTCACCTATGACTAAGGTCATATCTATCAGCTGGTAAAATTAAAATACTATTTATGTAAATGTACATTTTAAGTTTATCAGCTGATAGGTCCTTAGTCATAGGTGTGGTATTTTTTTATCGACTAAATTGCTTTGTTATAGAAATTGAAACGAATGATAATATTATAATTATTAATTAATGTAAAAGTTGTAAATTCAATAACGATAAGGATTCGAAACTGTAAAGAATATAATATTAAAATAAATACACAAGGCTAAAGTTGTTTGCTCTACCAAAGATTGTCATGTACCAGAAAAACAAAGGAAATGGACAAAAAGGCCGTAAGCTGACTGGGAAAATAGCAAAGCGGTGTTCGGGTTTCGTAAAACTTTTTGATCATTCATTGTTTTTTATATAAGAACGCAATAAAAAGGTATCAAAAAGCCGGTCAAGTACCCTAGTCGGATGTATATCATTTGAAAGACTTTAAGGTAAACCTTTTTTTTTTCTATAATAATGGCATTACACAAAAACAAAAGCCCATATAAGCTCACATAAATATTAGTATACGTACATTACATTCTGTTGTTTTCATTCGACTTCGCTCATTTGGAAAAAAAATAATTTATTACTAAATTTAGTACTCTGATACTACCATGATCATTAACGACTACTTATAAAAACAATTTTTAATTTTAAATTATGATCTTTTTATCCCGAGATGTCAACAATCAGAGTTTTTAACGCTTCATGGTTGTTTTATAATAAAATAAGTAGATACGAACTGTAGAAATAAATACAAAATTAAATAGGTACATTCAGACGAGCAAATTTGTATAATATTAAAAAAAAATCTTTAGCTTATTTTTTAATACTAACAAAGTACCTGTAAAATTTCTAAAATAAGACTTCTGTTTTTAACAACTAAATACATATATGTTATAACATATGTTATCCAGGGCGATTCGTTAAGGATATATGTGTATATTACAATTTTGTAGTTTGATTTTTATCAATTGGCAACAAAAAAAAAATTAATGTCTTCTTATAAATTAAAGAATCCTAACGTCAAATCGTAAAAAAAAATAACACTTTAAAAATATCGTTTAAAATAAGTGTATTTCATAACTCTTTTCTTTTTTTGTATTTGACATTTTAAAATCGAAATGAAAAACAAAGTTAAGCAAACATAAGCGAGATTACTGATTAACATGTAAACTGCTGTCTTCATTCTCCATGACGGTTCAGTTAAGTTGTTAGTATAATTTCTCGAGTATTTTTAGACGGGTACAGTTGCAAAAATTATCGAACGTGTAATATCACCATTATTATCACCATGTATATTAGACTTAAAATGATATAGTCGAGTTTTACCGTAATATTATCGAGTAAAGTAATACAATAATATAATATTAATGTGTAAGTGGCACATTCAAAATAGATTGTTTCTTCTTATTGAAAAAACTATTATAATATCTGACGTTGTGCTCTGCGGTTAACAACGCTTCGAATTTCTCGAAAACTAATATTGACAATCAGAAACAGCCAACGCCATAACAAGAATATAACGCGTACAGTGGCCCCTCGGATCACGATAGATCTTAGCAACTGTCGAATAGCGTTGGCGCGCATGAAATCAGAAATGTGTAAAACCGATTACATCATGCAAATGCGTTCGCTGCAACGGTCGATATTATATGGAGCGACTGTTGTATGTATTTGCTAATGGCACTGTTGAATATGTATGAAACGCGCAGGGCTCCATTCTTGCTTTGGCGGGTACGAAAAACCATCTCTGATTTATGAATTCATAGAATCATATTATACCCGGTTGGGTTTTCCCCAGAGGACTCTGCCAGTGAGTCCTGTCCGTGTTATCCTGTTCTTGGCCGAGACGGTAAAGTATATACAAGGTGTGTGTGTGTAATTTTTTGGTTTGAATGGCAATAACGAGTAACGATGACTATTATTACTGACACGACTCGTGTCTTTGACTTTTGGAACAATTAACCTTTATCCCTAGACCCGGCCCGAGTTTTTATACTTGTGTTTCTATATTAGTACGATAATTACTACATTGTTAATCGTTTTTTTCTTACCGCTTCGGTGTGTATAGGGTGGACGGCAAACATGACACCGGCCAGTAATCCGTACATGTGTTGTAACCCGGCGACGGATATGCAAAGCCGAGCGAACAGCACACTACACAGCCCGTGAAGGACAACGTTGACCAGATGAAACCACACGGGTTCCAGACCAAACAAATAATGGTTTAACCTGAAACACACAAACAATTATCGGTATTATAGTATATATATATATATACTATTTTTTTGTTTTATATTTTATAAAAATAACATCTGTTATTGAACTTAAAGTCTACAAAGAGTATTAAATATATTTGAATTCCTATACGAACGTAATTTTATTAGGTTAATATTATTTTGTTTAAACCGCATAATATAGATCCTTAACAGCAAATCATAATATAAATGTATCAAAAGAATATAGTAAAAATATTAAATTTTTTGGATGCTGTATTAGGGGTTTGGATTTTATTTAAAATAACTAAAACTTAAAAAATGTTTAATTATAATGCAATTAAATACTAGATAGGTATAATTTAAAATACACATTCTACTTATTGTTAGTTATAAAATATTGTATTTCTCAATAAATATTCACAGAAACAACGCATTAGGCTTTTAATAAAAATAATAATATAATGTTTTATTAGTTTTGCATTTTTTAATTTTGAGTAATTTAATAAAACCTCGACCATATTAATGCAGTATACAAGTTATTAAGTTCTTTGACTCTTGATTATTTCACATTCCATTATCGCTTTAACTACTTATTATAAAAAAGGTCTCGAGTTTATAATTTTTATGCACTCGCTTTTATAATAAAAGCTAGCCTGGTGGAAAAGTAACCCGTAGGATAATCCGACCCAATTTGAGTATGTTTTTATTTGATCGAATTATTATATTACAAATAATTGTCAGTAATTGATTTAACGAAGTTTTGAATAATTATAAACGGGTTTTTTGTTTGTGTCCAACCAAATTACGCGTAATCTGATAAGCTCGATAAGAAGTCGGTGCGCGAAATCTAGGCATGGGTCGCGACCAAGTCACCGGTGCCAAACTTTTTAAACTTATAATTAAAACAGCGAGATTATACTCTCTTTCTCTCTTTGGGAATAATTAAAACCGGGAGTTGTACCCGGAAAAAGCTAAATTCTAGTGGAGGAGTTTTATTCTAACGAGCGATTATCCTCAAGTTAATTTGAATAAACCTTGCGCGAGGAATATAGATTGCACCGAGATCCGCAAGTGCCTGTATTCACTTCTCGGATTTCTTTAATGAAGTCGTTTTAAAACTTTTCCCATCACGTCAACGACGGCCAGCGAACAGCTTTAGCAACAATTCGCTGATAACCATAACATAACACTGCGTATTGCGTAAATCGATTATTTCACCGGATACCTTTTCCTTTAGTGTAGTAACTGGTTAAGTTGGTCGGTTATATCTGAGCACTGATTTTGTAGACCAATATTTACTATCGGGTCGCTTTGGTTTAAATTAAATCTTCATTGTTAACCTATCACTATCATCGTTTTATTCATGATGACCTGGGGGTAATGTAATATATTACATAATATAATAGTAATAAGTTGTAGCACATTAAAGTTGTGCAGAATTCAAAATACCCATAGATCATGTGGTTTCTGTTAAACTGCAGTATTTTATTTTTATAATAATTCTGATTTTATAATTTTATTAGTATTTAAAAAAACAACAACTTATGTTAATCACGTGGAATTACATTTTTAGTTAAAAAATAATCAGCAGTTTGGCTATTTTATTTTATAATTTGGGATATCAAATCAGAGCGTTAAGCTGTTATTTCTGTTATAACAGAGTGTGAATAGTTCTATACCTTATACCTTTAGGCTTTATGATTCTCCAATGCATGACAATTTAAAATTAAACGTCAACAATAAAGATAAAGTATACATTATTAAATTATTAATATTTTAATTTTTCTTACACGTTATAATATTTTAACTTTAATACGAAGCTTAAAAATACTAGATGGAAACGAGAACGAGCTACTCGGCATTTACAGATACGATCAAGAGTTCAACGTGTACATTATTTACGGGAAAATCTTGGTATTTTACAAATCTGTTTTACCTACAATTGGCTAACTAGTAATAACTCGAATTTTTATCATAAGTAATTAAATTGAACCAAGCGAAGCTGATCAAAAACTATTTTTTTGTGCTTTGTTTATCACTTCATTTACTTATCGTAAATATTTTTACAACTTAATGTTTGTTTTACCAATCTCGTTTTATTTAACATAAGCGGGAGCCTGGATTCTGGAAAAGGGGATTCGAAGTGCGACTGTTTTCCGTTGCTTACCGTGCCAGACGGGTAGCCATTTCTTTAAGCAAATGTTTGCAAATACGTTTTTTAGAAAGGTTCAATACTCTATATTGTAGACATAGGATGAGGTCATGTGTGCTTAAGGCGTTTCTACAAAACTCGTACGTTCGATTTATAATTGTGTCGACCCAACCGGTCTGCTGTTTGCTCGTGTCCGGATAGCTTTGAAGTTTTCTCTACATATGCGATGGCTATTTGTTAAGAGGGCGTCACGTCACTATTGACGTCCCGGGAAATGCACTTTCCCGGCAAAACTAAGCGGTTCTAGCACATGTGTACCAATAAATAGAATTAAACATAAAAAGAATATAATATACATGTTTACATAAGTGATTTTCGATGAAATATTTTACAACGAAAACGTAAGCTTTTGAAATAGAAAGGTCAACGTCCTATAGCTTGGTTCTGCACAACAAATTCTTTATCTCCTCTTTTGGCTCTTGGTTAGGTCGAAGCTGTTCAGTTTCCCGGTAACGTACATCTTAAGAAACACATGTTTCCGACGTACGACCTTTTTCTAAACGACTTCTCGGTAAACTATCGAAATCTGCCATCGGTTTATCTTAGCTTTTTATTTAAACGGACGTAAACATTTTAGTTCGATGTCGAGTTTTATCGAATAATTTCCTATGCTTTACCCATTCTCGTTATAAATACCACGTTAGGATTTAAAATATGTTTTTCACATGACCTTATGATCGGAATTTGTAATGGTATTACGTTGTGTCAGAATATTTATATTGAATAAGTTTTCATAAACTAAATATTATTAGGTATAAAGTCTCGAAGACATTGATGACTACCATATTATAATATTATCACACACGACCGTGATCGCGTTTTTCTTTGATCCAAGTCAATAAACCGCTTCGGTGGCACTTTACACACACAGCGATCGTTTAGTATAATAATAATAATATAACTGTACTTAAATTTCCATCCGTCGAAAGTTGAAGAATTATTTTTACCGCATTCGTGTGTGGGCTTTTGTTCGTTGTCTTTACAATTACTGTTATTATTATTATTATTTCGTCGGGGTTTGCCGGCGCGTTTATCATGTTAATACAGGCATTCGTGAGTTGCCCACCACGATCCACGTACTACTATCCCACTGCGATGATTGTTCGGCACGCAATTACCCAAAACCAAAGGCGCAGTTAAACTTTGAACGTTATTATACGGTTCGTGACTATGATGCATAAAAATAATATATAATTCAGATACTTATATATACAGGTATTTGAGTAAACAAAATTTTTTTCCGTTTACCGAACGCATTTGTATAACGACGAACCATGTTAACGAGAAGTGAATTTACTAAAATATTATTTAGTACCGTAATAATTAAAGGTGAGGTGAGGTGAGCATGTACTGATGTATTCCGTATCAGTGCCATCGGTGTTTATGTGATATTCGAGTGGAAGAATTTTCCTTTGTACATCGACAGACACATATTTTTTCTGTTTTCTGCCGGCGAATTTTCTCACATTCGCCTAACAAGATTTGACCGGCCGCCCGCAAAGTAGCCGTGCACTTTTAAAACACAAAAATATATTATATTTGTATATACTTATACATGTACAGATAGATACTGTTCGTATATAGGATAATATAATAATAAAAGCGACGGCCACCGGCGGTATAATCTGATTAGTCGGACATGTCGGCGACCGCCTTGCGACGTGCGTGTTAGTGGGCAATTCCCAAATGCGACCTCTGTCGGAGTTTCGAGAGCCCAAACTCAATTATTATCAATTTTCCACGTGTGTCTCTTTCTCGTGTTTGGATCGGCTCTCGCTTTTATTTTATTTTTTAGTTACTCGGTCGAAGATATGCGGCAGGACGACTTCCGGACGCGTATTGCGGCTAAAAAAAAACAAAAAGAAAACTACCGTCGGTGAGGAGAGCTGAGTCCGGACGAGGAGGGTTAAAATAAAATAAAAATACCTAGGTATCCTAAGAGCTGAGTTAGAACGTGTAGCGACGACCGGTGGGAGGTGGGAAAGGGATGACAGACGACAAAGTAAGGTGAAAATATATATTACAACAGAATTCCGAAGTTTCGCCGTGCGTTTAATCATATTACACAACAATGCCGGAGCGCCCGCTAGGAATGCCCGTGCTTTGTAATAATTATGAAGTTAGCAGCGAGCTAAGTAAATTAGCCGTAATGAAATTTGATTTAGGTGAATGCGATGTCACGCCACTGTGTCTCTGCGCCTACCGGAAACGGAATAGTAATTATCGTTCCAATATGTAGAAATGAGAATAATATATAATATACCTACAATTTATACATAACCGAACGATCACGGCGCAACGGCTTTACGGGAATTTTTAAAAAAAATGAATAATAATCAACCGCGTGTAGGTAAGTACGTATATAGGTCATTAATTAGGAAAATGTCCACAGGTCCGATAGTCGTCACCGGACGAGTTCGATGAAATAAAAAATAAATTAAAAAAAAAAACGTAACGCGCTGCAGTAATTTCCGGCGTATGAAAAAAAATCGAAGTGGGAAAAAAATGTCGTCGTCGTAGAAATATCCGTATAGTATACCGCACGTACTTGTCTGTATGGGCCTATGTATGTATATACATGTACGAGTATACAGCTCACATAAGGGTAAAACCCTGTGTCTGACCGCGGACGTCAGAGGTATATGACAGACAGGCATGTCGATCGCCGTGACTATTTGCATATTATATTCGCTGTAAACATTATTAAACACGGTGTGTGCTTGTACAGAAATGCGTTTGGGCGTATACTTACTTACATTCCAACCGGTGAGGACACACTATATTATTATATAGTGTTGTGT